CTGTTTTTCTTTTCTTGCCGTCTTTTTCTGGGCGCATTTTTGTTCGGAATTTCAAAGTTCCTTTTTGTACTGTTTTTTTTGGCACAAAAGTGCGGGTTTCTTTCATCTCTCATTAATTCGCTCAATACGTGCATTTCTTCTCTCTCATTAAAGGCTTTTCTGCCTCTTTTTTATGAACCGTTGACCTCAAAGAAATTTGACCGATTTGGGAAATGGATTTTTGGGTCCGTTTTTGTCTCCTCAGACTAAGAAATTGTCATTCGGACAAAAACGGTAATTTCTGTATTGACCAGATGACGTGGTGACTCTTTTGGAGTAACATTTTTTGAATTCAAAAAATGTGATTCTTAAAACATTTTTCATTTTTTAAAAATGTTTTTCTTCTTTCCTTTTTATGTTCTACCACATTTTCTCTTTTGTATGTGTAACCATAAATATATAATAATTTATAATATGTATACTATACAATATAGTTTAAATAATGTTCCTCAAACCATTCATTTCTAGCTCTTACCACATCAAGAACTAATAAAAAATAGAAACCATACCAAATAATATAAAAAACTATAATGAATAGTATAATGGGAGATCACAAACCTCAAGAAGAATTTAAGAATATAAGAAAAAAGTATCCCGAAATTTAGCGATAAACAGTCGTCATTAATTAAACCATTTTAAAAACTTCATAGTAAAAAAAAAGTTAAAGAAAAGTGTCATCTTTAAAATACAGTAAGATGGCTCAGCAACAACCGTTTGTTCTATTCTTTAGTTTACTCTTTAATTTTTACGAACAAAGAAATGACACGTAGACCAAAGAAAGAAGCGAGTATGTTCGACGCAAAGGACTCTCCGAATCGATTAGTCTGTGACGACATTCCTGCCGACAAACTTCCGAATAGTCTTTGCACAATATATATCTCTACAAACAAGTCAGTTGAGCTTGAGATCTTCCGAGGGGAGACTGTCTTATTGAAAGGGAAGAGACGTAAAGAGACAGTCTGTTTAGTAGAAGTCTTAGACGAGTATGATGACCATCGGATGATGACATCCCGTGTGACTCGTAAGAATTTGCATGTCAAATTGGGTGACATAATAACTATTCACAAAGCGGAAGATATCCCAAATGCTCAAGCGATTCATGTCTTGCCATATGGTGATACTATTGAAGGCCTCACTGGGTCCTTATTTGAGCCATATTTGAAGCCTTATTTTAATAACGGATACCTTCCAGTGACTCAAGGCGATTGCATTCAGTGTCATGGCGGTATGCGTACCGTCGAGTTTAAAGTCGTCGAAGTGACACCCGGCCCTTATTGTTTAGTGACTGAAGAGACACAAATCCACTGTGAAGGAGATCCTTTAGAGCGAGAAGATGATGAAGGAGTCAATGACATTGGATACGATGACATCGGTGGGTGCAGAAAACAGTTGAATCAAATTCGGGAGATGGTGGAGTTACCTTTAAGACATCCACAACTCTTCAAGAACATTGGGATTAAACCGCCCCGTGGAGTCTTAATGTATGGTCCACCGGGATGTGGGAAGACGATGATAGCTCGCGCAATTGCTAATGAGACTGGAGCGTTCTTCTTCTTGATTAATGGTCCTGAGATCATGAGTAAAATGGCTGGAGACTCGGAGAGTAATTTAAGACGAGCGTTTGCTGAAGCCGAGAAGAATGCGCCTGCTATTATATTTATTGATGAAATTGATTCAATAGCACCAAAGAGAGATAAGACGGGAGGAGAAGTCGAGAGAAGAGTTGTCTCGCAATTACTGACACTGATGGACGGACTGAAGTCTCGAGCACAAGTTGTTGTGATAGCAGCGACGAATCGCCCCAACACCATTGATACTGCTTTACGAAGATTTGGTCGATTTGATCGAGAAATTGATTTGGGTATTCCCGATGAAGAAGGCCGTCTTGAGATCTTGAACATCCACACAAAGAAGATGAAGATGTCTGAAGACGTTGATTTGAAGCAATTAGCGTCGGAGACTCATGGGATGGTCGGTGCTGATATCGCGCAATTGTGTACAGAAGCAGCTATGATGTGTGTTAGAGAGAAGATTGATCAAATTGATTGGGACGATGACACGTTAGATGCGGGCTTAGTTAATAGTCTTCAAGTCACTATGGCGCATTTCAGAGCGGCGCAACAGAAATCGAATCCGGCGTCATTGCGTGATGTAGTTGTTGAGATACCAAATGTGAAATGGGAAGACATTGGAGGGCTGGAGCAGACAAAACAGGAGTTAAAGGAAATTGTCCAATGGCCTGTCCAACACCCCGAGTTGTTTGCGGAGTATGGGCAACCCCCATCGCGTGGTGTATTGTTCTATGGTCCACCGGGATGTGGAAAGACTATGATGGCAAAGGCTGTTGCGAATGAGTGTCAGTCCAACTTTGTTTCGATTAAAGGGCCTGAGTTACTCACGATGTGGTTTGGTGAGTCTGAAGCGAATGTTAGAAATATCTTTGATAAGGCAAGAGGAGCTGCGCCATGTGTCTTATTCTTCGATGAGTTAGATTCTATAGCGCAAAGCAGAGGAGGAAATA